ATCAGCATTTTCAAAACATTTTTTTCTCCTTAAGCCCTTGATATCAGCTAATATCCCCCCTCCCTCAAGAATCCTTAATAATTTATTTTTAAAAGTACCCCCGCCCCTCCCGTCTTACACCAACCGGTCTCCCTTCACCCACTTTTCTGTTGTCCATCGCCCTAGGAAGGGGTTATATGTAGATCACAGTGGTTGGTTTCCCCTTTCACTTTTTCCCCCCAAAATCATTTTTTGGGGTGCTCATACAACTTTTATCACAATCCATACATTCATCGTGTCAAGCACATTTATACATTTGCTGCCATCATCATTCTCAAAACATTTTCTTCCTACTGGAGCCCTTGGTATCAGCTCACTACCACCCCCCGACCCCCCATGAACCCTTGATAATTTATAAATTACTTTATGTATCATGACCGATGTCTCCCTTCACCCACTTGTTTGTTATCCGTCCCCCCGAGAGGGGGTTATATGTAGACCATTGTGATTGGTTCCCCCTCTCCTTCTGGTATTGCTACTCTTTTTATTGGTCCTGAGGGGTTTATCTGTTCTGCATTCACTGTGTTGCGAGCTCATATCTGTAGCAGTGTACAAGGTCTGGTCTAGCCAGATTTGTAAAGTAGAACTGAGGTCATGATATTGGTGGGGAGGAGGCATTAAAGAACTAGAGGAGTTATATGTTTCAATGGTGCTATACTACACCTTGACTGGCTTGTCTCTTCCTTGTAACCCTTCTGTAAAGGGATGTCCAATTGTCTACAGATGGGCTTTGGGTCTCCCGTCATTCACATTGATATTGTTCTGGGTCTTTGATGCCTGATACCTGATCCCATTGACACCTCATGACCACACAGGCCGGTGTGTGTGCTTCTTTCACGTGGGCTTGGTTGCTTCTTGGCATTTTTCTTGTGATGCCCTGGACAGGCTTTGGGGGCAGTGTTAGCCTGCTCCAAAAGTGAGTCAAGAGCAGTTTTCTCCATCCTCTAAATTTGTCAGATTATTGGCCCTTGTGAGTTATGTCCCCATTTCTAAAGTGCTTGGTACATACATTTTTTGCTGTTGGTAAACTTTTTATGTATCAGTCTTACTAGCAGTTTATCAATTTTATTGTTCTCAAGAGGCGCCTTTTGGTTTTGATTCTACTGTAATTTATTTTCTATTCTTTGATTTTGGCCTCTTCAATTTGCTATTCTTTTCCTAGTTTCTTGATGTGAAGACTATCAACTCAGCCTTTCTTATTTTGTAATGTTGAATTCAAGATTATAGGTTTCTAAGTATTGTTATTGGATGAATACCCCCCAGCTTGGATATGGTATTTTCCTTTCAATTCAAAATATTGTCTAATTTCCTGCTTTCTTCTTTGTCCTGCAGGTTATTCGGACCACATAGCTTTAAGTTTCAAACAAATCAGAACTTTAAGTTTTCTTTTTCCTTTAAGTCTACTGTGGTCAGGCATTGTTCCTTAATCTTTGGAAATCTCCCGAGGCTGTTCAATAGCCAGGTACGACCAATTCTCAGAAAGAATGGCTTCTAGTATAATTTAAAAATATATGCATAGTTTGTTTAAAGTGCTGGATATCCAATTAGGCTATTTTTCAAATTGCTGGCTTATTTTATCTGCTACTGAAATAAAAATGTTAAAACATATTTAAAAAAATCTACAACATATGAAAGAAAAGCATCATTTCATTCTCATTTTCTATTCCAAATATTGTCCTTGGGTTTTGGTAGCAACTTTGCATATTCCCTCTCCCAACTGATAATGCGCAAGAGAATTATATACAAGGGGCTTCAATTAAGTGTGGAAAGTAGAATGAAAAGATAATGGTACTTTCCCACATCTCTCCCTTAACCTCTTAATGTAAACTGGGCAAAGGTCTACGGAGCACATCAGCCTTTTACAATCCACATTTTGTTTCGTCATTGATTGCAGCCCCAAGGTAGCATCACGTCTCCCACTCGTTCCCGTTTGCACTTTCATCTAATTCTTCTGTACTTTGTCCTGGGTCCAAGTCTGTCCTTTTAATCTTGAATGGCTGATTATCCTAAGGCAGCAATTCTCAACCTGTGGGTCGCCACCCCTTTGGGGGGGTGGTGTTGACGAGCGACCCTTTCACAGGGGTCGTCTGATTCATAACAGTAGCAAAACTGGTTATGAAGTAGCAATGAAAATAATTTTATGGTTGGGGGAGTCACAACATGAGGAACTATAAGGGTCATGGCATTAGGCAGGTTAAGAAGCACTGTCCTAAGGGGTTCTTACCTCCCTAGTGTTAATTTCCCTTAAAAACCTGTCATTTGGTTGAAAATCGAGTCATGGAATCCCACGGGGTTAGTTGTATCAGCCCTTATGGGTGACTAAGGGCCACCCCCTTGGGGATTTCAGTCCTTAGCAAGCCCAGTCAATTTTGTGAACCACCTTTGCACTACATTTTCCTTCCATTCTATCCAGGGTCCTGTAGTGGTTGGTAGTGGTAAGCAGGCACTAGCCAGCTCCTCTGGTCTGCCATATAAACTACCACTCGTGTGGTCCATTAGCGCATTTTTTCATGT